AAAAATAGTTGTAAATAATACACTAATACAATTTACCATGGTCTAAATTCTTTTTACTATGAATTACTTTTGTATTTTAGCTGAATTACTGGTGTGTGTGACCGGTGCATTGCTTTGAAACAGTAGAAATGTATGTAATCGACACCTAATCTCTTGATATACACTTTACTGACCCACGAAGGTGTTTAAACCTTTGAAATCCAAATTTAAAGCAGTAGTGCGAGTATAGGCAAAAATTAAGCTTCAGACGTCACTGATCACGTGATTATGGCACAACAAATCAAGCTCCGGTACACTGCTTCACTGCGAGATGTATCATTTTTTTTTGTACAAGCTTCGACGCATCAGTGCACAACGTTACATCACTACAGACCACACTTTGGATTACTCTGCATACACCTGTTTGTTCCTGTTTTGACCCTTTCTTGCTAGACGATTCTCTTAATAAAACTGCATCTGGATCCTCAACTCTGTTGTCTAGCATCTAGGCCATTACACGCACGTGTTTTTTCTTTTTTTTTTCTTTTTTTTTAAATCAACATTTTTGGATTGATATAAAAATGTTTTTTGTTTTGGAAATTGACATCAAAGTGAATTGAATGACTCCCAGTTTAAAGTTTTCTAAAATGCAGTTTTTTATTTATATAAAAATGTTTTTGAAATGTATTTGTCTTGTTATTGGACACAAGCACAAAAAAAATGTGCATAAAAAGTGATGTATTGTAAAATTCTAGAATTTTCATTAAATTAGTAATTACATGAATAAGAAACTGGTTAATTTCAGATTATACATTTATAGATAGACAAACAAAGTATACATGCATGCATTAACACAGACAAGCAAAATAAGACTGCCTGCAGATTTCAGTTCCAGCAGATCTGGAATAAAAAACAGAACCTTACTATTCATAAACAGAATATTTCAAAAGCACAATTCACCCAAAACTAAAAATCCATCATTTACTTGATGTCACTTCAAACCTCAAAGACTTTTTTCTGTTCAACAAAAAAAAAAACAAGTGAAAGTCAACGTGACAAACTGCTTATTTCTGAGAGAGCTATCAAGACAACATTAACATCTATATATCATTATCCTGTCTCGCAAAATCAGTCAAGGAACCCAGAAGTTAAAATCAGTGTAGAAATCTAAAAAAAAAAGATTTAGAGAAAGTAAGAAGTGACTGAAGTATAAATAAGCAACGTGATATGAGCCAGTAGTAGCAGAACTACAGTGATCAAATCCACAAACAAATCATCAAATTGCCATTAGAGTCTAAAAAGATGAGGCAGCACATGTACAGCAACAGCAGCAGTCAGTCAGTGCAGCTCCAGTGGGAAAGAGAGAGACACTCAGAGCTGGAGCAGAGAGCAGCACGATACGCACAAACCCGCCTGCGCTTGGCAGGAGTTGGCGCTCCTAACAGAATCAAAGGCTGCTTTTCTTCCCATTGAGACACATGGGCTCAGAGGTCAGCCTGCCTTTCTTGGACCAAGATGGAGGAAAAAAAGTGAATAAATGGGCTTTGTGAGACAATGGGTTATTGCTGTGTGGGCAGGCGTTTGTAGCACCGTGGCCTCTAGCTTTGACGAAATAAAAAGGGAGCGAGGGATGCTGCGTTTCCACTGCCATGATAAAAGCAGATACTTTACCCTTCTTTGTTGATAGGGCTTCCAGTCTGTGTAAACATTTAGAAGAACTGTGAACTTGGAGAACTTGAGGACATAAATATTCAACGCCTTACAAACATATCTGTGCGATACTGTATCATAAAGCAAGGATGAAGTAATATGTTATGAAGGATTAAAACCAAATGAAGAAAATAGAGGATGAAGCAACAGTGGCAATTAAAAAGTACCCCAAACAGAAACCTTAAAACATGCTTTGACAAATTTTAATGATAAAATTTCACTAGAAAGTAAAATGCAAAAAGAAGAGAAGATTCTCACGGGATCATTTGGTCTCTAATGGGAGCTGTCAATCAAAAGCAACAGAGGCCAGA